GCTTCTGTAACTTGTAGCCGGTATCAAATTGCATTCAAATGATCAGTGAATTTTTGACTGCAACTTTTTAGTATACGATGAGATGGAAAATATTTCAGTTGGTGAAATTTCTATTTAGGCATTCTTCAAATTCAAGAAAACTGAGCCGGCAGAAATTTTATAACGAACTCGCGTGTGTTGCTCATGACGCAAGCAAAAAATGCAGACTGAAATCAACAACAACTAACGGATGGCGGCATTTTGGCCAATTGGAACAGCGCAAATCATCCGTATTGTTTCCTATCCAATCAGAAAAAAGTCCAGATTCTGGCTTTTTTACATGTGATCCGACAAAGAAATGTGTCATGCCCTCTTCCCGTGAGAGACTTAAAGGGATGATAGGGAGAGGGCATGATCTCAGGCTTGGTAACCGTGAGCAGCGCTTCGCCGCTCGTGGCCTCGGCCTACGGCCGAAGATGTGTCGGCCTTCGGCCAACACCGAAAATTCTCGCCGCACGCGAGAAAAACCTCTGGTACCCAGGGTAGGGATGCTCCGCTTCGCTGCCTATTAGTGCTCCCTTGCTTTGCCCCTTTTATTTCTTCTCCTACCCTCGTCTCACGCTTCGCGCGAAATGCAGCATTTGCCTCGTGCGCTTGGCTCATAAACTGCCCGTTTTGCAGGTTAGCTCCTCCGCAACAAAACGCCGCCAGTAACGTAAGGCAGGCTAACCTAGTGTTGAGTTACTAGAGTAAAGGAGCACATTTTCGGCACTTTGTGGGCTAGTAAGATGTACACAATGTGTTGTTGTTGTTGTGAATTTCGTTGGGACGAAATTCGAAAATCGTTTGATAAGGGGACTGGGTACTAGTACAAAATTCCGTTTACTTCGGCACTTTTAATAAATTACTCAACAAAGCCCGGGCACAGATGTTTAGTCATTCATCTTGATTGACTGCTATTATAAAATGGTGGCATTTCTAATTTAAGTTTTTTTCCCGCAAAATGGCCGTTAAAGGTCACGTGACCTAATTTACAAATTCTTTTACTCGGAATCGCATAAACTTTTGAGAGTCATTATTTTACTCAAGTTTTGTCGCTATATGCCTTAATCCTCAAAATTTAGAACACCCCTCGACTTTTTGAGAGAAATTTTAAAAACACCCATGCCTTAATTTCCTTGAGCTTGATTTGACATCGAAATTAAACTGCAAAAGAAACTTTTTTTACAGGCCTCTTTCGAGCTACAGTCGAAACCCTCACAAGCGACCACCCAAATTGACACTACTGGATAGTGATCGCTTATACGAGTCGAACCACAGGAGGTCAATTAGCGGGAACAGGTCTGTATTATTTCGAAAAACATCATACAATTTGGGCGGAGCTCATTTATACGAGCAGGGTAATTTAGTGTCTCCAGAAATTTTACTCAAACGTTGAGTCGCGCAGTAAATACAGCAAACATAGTGTTCAGATTGAGTCACGTGGTGACCAGTGATCGCTAACCAGGGAGGTTCGTGATATACTGCCACGTCTACGAAAAGGTGACTTTAAAAGTTGAACGTACTCTTCATCATACTCGGATCGCGCTTAGAGCGGTTTTCATTTGAGTGTCGAAAAGTAATTGGTTTTGCACTTTCTACACGATGCGATTGGCTTAAAAGATTCGCGCCACCTTTTCATCCAATCAGAAGTAAAACCAAAGCCAATTGTGACGCGCTCGCATGCATTTTCCCGCGCTTTGCGTCAGCCACATGTAATTACTTCGAGTTTTGATTGGTTCAATGTATT